TTTTACTAATTCAACCGATTGTATACCCTTCTAGTGCTCCAAATCCATTCCCCTAACTAAATATACCGCATACTGGTTTCCACCGTGACACTACTAACCTCACCCTTACTAATATAAAAGTGCTCTTTTTGCCTCCTCATGTAACATCAAAGATACAACCCATGGATACTGGTATTATTGTGTCATTCAAACTTCATTATCATCATATATAACTTCAACATACGATTGATCGTGATGAAGCTGGAGAGAAAGACATATATAAAGTCGATCAACTACAGATAATAAATGATACAAACCAAAAATATAGTCAACTTTGTCTAAACCAAACCTTCAGGCTTATATATAAAATTTTTTAGAAAGTTCAGTTCAAAGAATTTATTGTCTCTAATCCGGACTTATTAATAAAATTTATAAATATTCTTAAGCCTTGTGTTCAATTTGTTGTTTGGTTTGTTCAAGTTCAGTTTAGAAAGAGTTGACTATAGTTAGTTGGTCGAGTCGAAAACTAAAATTCATTGTTTTAAAAGATTGGATCAGGTTTTGGGTTTTGGGTTTAGAGTTGTTAAGAAAAGAGTATAAATAGATTTAATAGGGTTTACCATTTTTAAATTAAGACAGCGTCTGCTATTTTTAGTATAAACTATAACAATTTTTAAATCAACTAATCACCTGTTTGATAAATTTAATAAAAATGATCTGATTAGTCAATCTAACTGAAAAAAAATAAGACATTAACAGAAGTTAACAAATTAATCATATCAATAATTGCAGGCTATAAAATAGATAAAGATTGTTTGGAAAGAAGTATTTGCTGAAACAATTAAGAGATGTTGGTTGCGCATAAAAATCATATCTCTTCATGATGAAAACGGAGCACCTGTTATCTCCTCTACAATTGTTGAAGAATTTGATGATGTAGAAGAAAATCCACCTCTTGATCCAAATGATGAATTAGCAATTAAAGAACTTCAGAAACAATTAGACATATTACATGTTTATAACCCAATACTAATTGAATATTTGTTAAATATTGAAGAAGAACAAGAAGTACACCACCAGTTTACTGATGAAGATCTAATTCAGACTGCTACAGAAATAGAACAAGTCAAAAATAAATTCATACTACTACTCCTAACTAGAGAAGAACAATTAAGTATTTCGTGCAGTGTATTGAGAATTGTTGATGAGAGGATCGATGATGGAGGAGTAACAATGAAATCCTTACACAAGCTACAATTCTGTATCCGTGAAGAGGTTCAAAAAGAGAAAGCCGGGAAGCATGTCCAGAATAGTTTGGATCAATACTTTAATGCTTGAACAAAGAATGGTTTCAGTATTATCTTTTTTTTTTCATTTGCTAAAATTTTTATATAAAAGATAAAAGATTTTGCCGTAAAAAAATGTTCTATAACAATCAAAAAAGATAAAAAAAAAAATTAAAAAGTTATACTGGCGAATTCTCTTATCCAATATAAAAAGCTATTAAAAAATAAATGAAATTTAGAATTCTTTTATTGAAATAATTGTAGTGTAGTATAAACTAAGATATACTTGCGATTAAAGTATGATCATACACATTACTTTTTTATTGCTTTATTGGCAAGGATCTCTAATTAGAATTACTGAAGTTGATTCAAAAACTTTCACCTTATCAGACTTAGCCCTTGCAAGATTGATTCCGAAGTGATCTTAATATCAAATAAGTGTGAAGTTGATTGCTTCGATGTGTCTTGGTCATAATTAATACATCTCTTTATGGATCAATAATCTAGTAGCTCTTGAAAAGAGATGATATGTGTTCTAGAAATAGTCGTGTAAAATCAAATACTTCAAGTACTGAATATGATAAGGTGAAAGTTAATGAATTAATAGCCATTACTCATTTGTTAGAAAAATTTTTTGATCTCATTTTTCGCTTCATTGAAATTCACGATTTGATTGGCCATTAATCATGTGACTACCTTAACAAATCAGAAACTTATATATTTAGAGTATCAGATATCAGAAATGACAGGTTATTAGGTATAAATTAAGAAACAGGCTTGGTGGATCGATTTTTAACCGATTATGGCAGGATATCAGTTTTGACAGAATCGGTTTGGGGAGGGCTGACAGTATATACAACAAGAGTATAGATATTTATAACTTATTAGATAATCTGCCCCTTGGCTAACAATTATCATTATAAGCAAACATGTACAATATCAATATAGAATTAATTATTATATATAAGGCAATATAGTAGTATCTCTTATATAAATCTT